AAAAGTTTGAATTTGTTTTGGATTTTCTCTCATCCATGCTGGGTCAAAAGTATACGTACATGCAGGCTCTCTCACTCTCTATACATAATGTTTAATAACTTATGCTGATTATAGATTATAGATTAGAATAATAGTATTCAGATTGATTGATCAATACTCACAAATTTAAAGGAACTCACTGTAGATTTACACACCATCTTACAATGCTGTGATGGCAGACATTCCCCAACTCTATGAATGGTACTCATGGCCACTGACCAATGGTTGTTGATTAGCGGTCATGGCAATTTGCATACTACTGATCATAAGCTGACCTCCCAGCCCAGTGTTCATTCAGTGCTGCTGGTGTCAGTCACTGTGCACATGTCCTGTTTCTAAGGTTGACCTGCAGTCAGCTGAGACTGAAGACGTCACCTGATGATGCCGAAACGTTTCTCCCACTGAAAACTCTGCGGCCAGACTTTTTGGGATTTCTTTAGCTGGATGATTGAGCATCAAGACAGACAACATCAAGTAATGTTTCATCTACTTCTGGAATAGCTTTCCTCAGCATGTTTGGGCCTAGCATGAGTCCATGCCAGGAAAGCAACCAATTTAAATGAACTTGACTAATTGTGGCAAGAAGAGTGATCAAATATTCAACTGGAATTACACCAGAGGTTTGTTGATGGCTACCAAAAGCATCTAGTGACCCACAATGTCATGAAAGTATGTAAACTTTTGCCCACAACTGTGTCTGGATGTGACTCATGTGTAAGATTGGAAATAAGATTTTTACTGTGCAAAACAAACATCATTCCTCTAATTTAACAATGAGGAAACTGATTTAGTTTCATGAACTAAGCGGCAATACACGTTACTATATATTGTGTTTCAAAATATCAACAGTAAACCATGAAGAAACTCTGCAGACTCTGGGGCACGACTAGGTACTGAAAATGTATCTGGTGTGAACATCTTTTTATTGTAATAATAAAAGCCTACATACACATGGATAATATTGGTTTTTGTGTTGCAGCTAGATGAGTTTGAGCAACAGAACAATCTTAACAACTCACTACAATTCATCAGCTATACAGGATGAGGTCCAGGCTGGGCTGAGGGAGTTGATCTGTGAGGTCAGTTTGTGGGTTAAATGTAAACAGGCTGCTCCTGGGCGGTCAGCAGGCGATACATAGCAGCAGGCATGGTCTTCATATGAATCTAAGGCAGACAGAACAGAACAAAGTAATCATCATGGAATTCTGATATAAAGGTTCTTATTTATATCATTACATATCTAATGGTATAATGGTATGTAATAGAAATTCGGGTAGGAAAGGGTGCCCAAGAATCAGAGATGCCTGAAGCCCTGAAACGATTGTCAAGAACCGTGCAGAAGTAATAAAAGGGGCTACATCCTGACATCAAGCCACTCGTGGACCACAAACAACATCAGACTGGTAAATGGACTGGTTCTTATATAGCACATTTCTACTCTGAGCAAAGCGCTTTATACAACTAATTCATTCACCCAATTACTTCCCATTCACACAGGCACTTATTCTACACTGTTAAGTGCTCACTGTCTAACATTCATACGCATTCACATTC